CAGAGCAAGAGTGGATGCTGGACACAGAAGGTGTTAATCTCTTAGCTGTCCTGTGTCATGATGATGTTGATGCCAGGAGGACAACGAGTAATCACTTGATTGAAATTCTTGAAATTCTTGGAATTGAGGCAGTTCGTCGGTCACTGTTGGATGAGTTGCGTGTTGTCATATCTTTTGATGGGTCTTATGTGAATTATCGGCATCTGGCTATCCTTTGTGATACCATGACCTATCGTGGGCACTTGATGGCCATTACTCGTCATGGCATCAATCGAAATGACACCGGTCCCATGATGAGGTGCTCATTTGAAGAAACTGTCGATATTCTTCTTGATGCTGCAGTGTTTGCAGAAACAGACTATTTGAGAGGCGTAACTGAAAACATAATGTTAGGCCAGCTTGCACCTATTGGCACAGGAGACTGTGCCCTGTATCTCAATGACGAGATGTTGAAGAATGCAATTGAACTCCAGCTACCTAGTTATATGGATGGTCTTGATTTCGGTATGACACCATCTCGTTCTCCAGTGTCGGGAACTCCATATCATGAGGGCATGATGTCTCCAAATTATTTGCTGAGCCCAAACCTTCGTCTGTCACCCATTTCAGATGCCCAGTTTTCTCCCTATGTTGGAGGAATGGCATTCTCTCCTACTTCATCTCCGGGCTACAGCCCATCATCCCCTGGCTACAGTCCGTCCTCCCCTGGATACAGTCCCACGTCCCCTGGTTATAGTCCCACCTCACCCGGGTACAGCCCCACTTCTCCTGGGTACAGTCCCACCTCTCCAACCTATAGTCCTAGTTCTCCAGGTTATAGTCCAACCAGTCCGGCCTATTCTCCTACAAGTCCATCATACTCACCCACCTCACCCAGCTATAGCCCCACTTCTCCAAGTTACAGCCCCACTTCTCCAAGTTACAGCCCTACATCTCCAAGTTACAGTCCAACTTCACCAAGTTACAGTCCAACATCACCTGCTTACAGCCCTACATCACCTGCTTACAGCCCGACTTCACCTGCATATAGTCCCACATCACCTTCCTACAGCCCTACATCGCCTTCCTATAGCCCTACATCACCTTCCTACAGCCCAACGTCGCCCTCCTACAGCCCCACATCTCCATCCTACAGCCCAACCTCACCGGCCTACAGCCCAACTTCTCCTGGTTACAGCCCAACTTCTCCGAGTTATAGTCCAACTTCTCCCAGCTATAGTCCTACATCTCCAAGTTACAATCCTCAGTCAGCCAAATACAGTCCTTCGTCGGCATACTCTCCAAGCAGTCCAAGATTGTCACCATCTAGTCCATATAGTCCTACGTCTCCAAATTACAGGTGAGCTGTCTATCGAACTGCACTTATGGCATCAGAGTTGCTGAGTGTGGTTGACTGATCAGTGCTTATGAGTGGGATTATTACTCTCACATGATTTATAAGCCTCTTCAGTTCCTTGCTCATTGACTTGCCGCTTATAATTATTAAGGAAATCTCATGACTACTTGTGTTCTTTTCTTTTCTTTTTCTTTTTTTTGCAGCCCAACCTCACCATCGTATTCACCTACTTCTCCATCTTACTCTCCTTCAAGCCCTACGTACAGTCCTGGAAGGTAAGCTTCCTTTGTTTGGTCACCTCTGACCACGCTTCCTATATTTGCCTTTCTAATTTAGTATTTTGGAGTCTAAATACTAGGTATTTGTGTGTGTATTAATTTGTTGAAATATGTCTATTTTTTTCTTTCTAATTTTGTTCTTGTTCAGCCCATTTACCTCTGGAGTGAGCCCAGATTATAGTCCAAGTTCTCCACAATACAGGTAAACTGGGAAACAATATTCTCTCGCTAGATATTTCTTGTTTTGCTCTTCATTGTGCTCTGCCAAAATGTTCATCTGTTTTCCTCGTTGCTTTTGTTTCCACGCAGTCCAAGTGCTGGGTACTCACCTAGTCAACCTGGGTACTCGCCGTCATCTACTAGCCAGTACACGCCTCAAACGAGCGAGAAGGATACTAAGGATGACAGAAGCACTCGTTAATGCATTTTACATTTAGAAGTTTGAGATGATGTAGAGGTATATTTTTCTTCAAGCTTTTATCTTGTGGGTGCCTATTAAATTGAGTGGGAATTTCCCTTTGTGCTCCAGGTTGATTACTGCTTATAATGCAGTTCGTTCAGAAAATGCTTTTTTAACCCTTTTTTTTTTTTTTTTTTTTTTTGGGTTATTAGGATTTTTTGTTTCCATGTCATCAGTTCTGTGCATCCTTATGTTATTTATAAATGCCACTCATGTTTTATCTATCTGAATCTACAGCAGCTCACCTGCAAGCTATCAGAGAACCTGGACTTGTAATGTGGATAGGTTGATGGAAGTGGGGAGTCGCATTAAAGTTGGACGATCAACTGCAGGATGTAAGCTGGTTTTGCAGCGCATCCATGTCTAAGTTGCTTCCTGTATATAGCCTAAGACTAGATTTTACGTGTTTTACTACTAGCGGTCGATTTTACGTTGAAAAAAGACCCACTCCTGGTCATGCATCTCAACTTTGGACCACCCTTTTGGTTTTGGTTCCTAAAAACTTTGCAACTGTACTATTTCATGTTGCACATCTAATTTGTTCAGGTGCACTGTGTGTAATCAAAATAGTTTGGCTCTCGATCTTATTGTAATTGTAATTTTGACATTCTAGCAGGACATTTTCCCCTCTTGATTAGCAAGTTTGGTTTTGAACTTTGAACAAAAAGTTTATAATTTGTTAAATTTGTTGTCACACGTTGCTATCCTTCTCTATCAGGCTCTTCTTTTAAAAATTGTTGACCCCTTTGGATGTGACCTTCCAACACAAACTTGAACGATAAGGAATTAACAAAAACGTTTGACATTCGAGAATGGCATGCCAAGTGGAGCTTGCACTGGTAATGCAATTATTTAATTCTTGGCGGCAAAAACCCTTCTAACCATTCCAGTACACTGTCTATGAAGAGGTCAACAATCTCATTCCCTCTCCGGCTCTTCCAAAGCCACTAAAGAACTCTCTCTCTCTCTCTCTCTCTCTCTCTCTCTCTCTCTCTCTCTTATATAAACACAAGTATACAACAAACACAGCTAGAAGAGCTGCAAGAACAATTAAACTGAAAATCAATGGAGAAACAATCAAGACTTATTGGGAGCAGAATTCTGAAGCTTTTATCAAAGGCTGCACAGCCTGCAGTCACATACCACAGCCCACCTCCCAGCCCTAGAAAAACCGCAGGTCCAATGACATCACTCATACCCTCTGAGGCCAGAAGGAAGCCCAGGAATGGAATTACCTTTGGTCCAAAAGAACCCACTTCTCCAAAAGTCTCATGCATGGGTCAAATCAAGGGCAAGCCGAAGAAGAAGAAGAAGAACCAAAGCAAAAGCAAGTCAAATACTAGCAAGAGGGCTTGCCCTCCACCACAAGAAAGCTCCACCTGCAATCTAGTTTCATGTGTTCCTAATAAGGTGAAGAAAAAGACATCAAAGGGTTTGCCCAAGGAAGCCCCACCAAAAGAAGGTGATGAAAATGACAACAACAACCCTGATGGTTTGGTGGCCGGCTCATCTAGAGGTCCAGAGAGAGTGCCTTCTTTGGGTCAGATGAGGAGGTTTGCAAGTGGTCGTGATGTGCTGGCTGATTTTGATTTGATATTGGAGGTTCATGATGATCAATTGGGTGATGTGAAAAATAGGGTGGGTGGCGATAGTCAAGAAGGAGATCGATGTTAAGTACGGACCAGAAGAAAGAATTTACTTCGAGGAAAAGAAGAACCATTTCTCCTCATCCAAATCCTCTTTAATTGTAAAAACACATGTGCAAAAAAATTAATCAATGTTTATGGGGTGTTTATGATAATTGTTGTGGCAATACTGATCAGTAACTCTTGAGATTTTTTTTAACCAAGATGGTTTTTCCTGCAAACCAAACAAACATTTGAAGAGCTGTTCAGCTGACTGGTGGTTTTGGTCGTAGAGGGCTCTGTGGCTGCAATTTTAATACACATGTAAAATGATTGACACTTGAAAAGAGTTCAAATTCTTGCATTATTTTACTGGAAACAAACCAAGAAATAAAATTCATCTTTACAAGATACCAAACCCTTCCTTCCTAGGGCAGCTGTTGCGTCAGAATTTTAAATGGCAGTGTCTTCAAGCCATCCTTCACATCAGCAGGCCAGCCAGCCATGTGGGTTTCTATATTTCTGGAATAAAGAATTGCATAAACAGGAAATGATGGAAGGACAGATATTTTGGGTTTGGGATTTGGTTTGTTGCTCAATGAGGAAATAAAATAATTATTTTGTGAAGATTATGTTTGTGATGGTGAGAGTGAGGGTAGGACATCTTTCCAACTACACTGATAATGATTTGTGGGCAGTAGGGTAAAAAGATGTAGGCAAAATAAGTAAAGCAACTTGAGGAGGAAACTTTCTACTTTTCCATGATTCTCTTCTTTTAAACGTAAAAGTATTCAAAAGTTGGATTTAAAATCTCATAAGGAATAAACAAGCACCTAATCAAGCCAAAGTTAATTAAATATTAGGTTATGACACTATTCCTAGAGCATGCCGATTGCATTCTGACTGGCAAAAAGGAGCCAGGAGCAGCTACCAAATGGAAAAAAATCTTTATAGCAAAAAGTGATATCCTCGTTGTAGGATAATTTTTCTCCAACACATGGTATGAAAAAGATGGTAATTTTCCGACATGACTCGATTCGGCAAACATAAACAATCTGATTTTACTGCAAACACATTTATCTAACATTATATGGGGAAAAAAAAAGTTATACTTTTCTCATTTTAAAATTATTCTAACATGGATTAATATAAAAGATTTTAGATGATTTCTCATGCCTAATATTAAAATGGGTTGGCGTTGATTGACGCTATAAGTAGATGGTGGAGCCACAAGCTCCATACAAAATGGAAATGAAAATATGGGTCCATATGAAGTATGAACATGTTCTAATTGTTCATGGGTCTCACTCCACGTATCCAAACCAAACCAATTATTTCATCCGACACAATTTTTTTTGCATTAAAAAAAAAAAAAAAATTTTAATTACGAAAAAAATCCCAATTTTTGTAACGGACACTAACTCCCGACTCCATACTCATCCCCTTCCCTCTTCTCCTCCGTCACACACAACCTTCTCTGTCAATATTATAAGATTTCACGAGATTTAAAATCCCCAAAAGCCTCTAGGCGCCACGAGGTCTCTGAAACTCCTCTGTGTTTCTCAAGCAACGCCAAACCCATAAACCCAGTTTTTTTTGTCGCTATTCTAACCCCCCAACCCCAACCCTCTCTGAACTGTGGTTCGTACAGTGACCTCCATCCTCCGGTGCCACGTCACCCCGCCGCAATGGCCGAAATGACGTTGGAGCTGGTGACCTACCTGCACGGCGACCTCGACCTCCATATCATCGAAGCCCGGCGGCTGCCCAACATGGACCTTGTCTCCGAGCGCTTCCGCCGTTGCTTCACCCCCCGTGACACTCTCACAATCCCCCACTCCCG